AGAGAGACACAGCGAGAGAGGGAACACAAGCAGGGGGAGTGGGGGAGGGAGAAGCAGGCTTCCCGCAGAGCAGGGAGCCCGATGTGGGGCTCGATGTGGGGCTCGATGTGGGGCTCGATCCCAAGACCCTGGGACCATAACCTGAGCCGAAGGCAGATGCTTAACGACTGAGCCACCCAGGCGCCCCATCCATGGCCTGTTTTTGAATGGACCTCAAGCTAAGAACGGTTTCTACATTTGAAGAAGGAAGAGGAGAGCAGGAGAAAAAGTTTGCCCATTCCTGTATCATATAAATATATAATTATATAACCAGCCTTTTTCACCATGAATATGCCAAACACCAAAACACAGGGAGGCCAGTGTATGAATGTAAGCCTCCTGCATTTGAGAAGCATTACACGCAAACTAAAGAAAAAACTTACAATGCATCCCAACAAAGCAAAAAAATATATATATGTATATGTGTATGTATATGTATATATGTATATACATATTAAAAACAAGGGGGAAAAGCCCAAGAAAATTATATTTTTAGTACTATATTAGTTTTGGCGTTCATACCTCTGAGGAGCCCAGGGGAAAGATTGCATTCCTCGACCACATTGTCAACTAAAGTGTGAATCTGGGTGAAAACGGTCTTTGAAAATAGTCTGTCACCCCCACCACCTACCAACAAAGGAACATTTACTCTTGAAGGAAAGAGGAATGGCGAGTCTCAGACACTGCCATCACATTGCAAAATCCCAGGGCTTGCCATTGCTCTAAGTCAGTGTGTCCCCGAAGTGATTGATCGCTAGGAAAGCTAATTTTAACACCCTCAATGCATGAAACAGTTGAGGTTAGCCTGACAGAAAAATCTATAAATGACTCACAAGGCAGGAAAGAGGAAGCAAAACTAGCCCTCATCAACTTTATCAGGATGATGTGGCTAAAATTATGTCTAGTTTATGGCTGAGGCAAGGCATGCTGTTTGTGAAGGCCAAGGGACTGGTGGGTAGTAATTCTCCGCAGGGTGACCGCCACTCAAAACGGCTTCAGGTGGACGATAAAGCACACCTTGATTGATGCTGGCGGGGCCACACAAACAATGCATCCTGAAACGTGTAATTAGGGAACACTTCTCCCAAGCACTTACAGAACACACCAACGGGCACATGGGACAATGTGAGGATGAATCATCCGTAGTAAGCCACCCCACATCTTTCCATGAGCAAACTAAAATTATAAGACTATAGTACATGCGGGGGGGGGGGTTGGAATCTGAAAATAGATTCAGCTAAACATGCACAGTGGCCAGTGTCGGGGTTTGGAACCTAGATCTGTTCCCCACCAAGTGAATAGATTCCTGGCCCATGGAAAAGTCTAGTTAACTCATAAAACATCTGAGGTTGTGTGTCTGCGGCACCCGACCATCCTGTGTTAAGTGTGAGGCACATAACTAAAGAGCATCCTTTAGAATTCCCTCCTGTGGTTCTAGTAGCCCAAGAAGTACTCCCTCAGCCCTGGGACAGGGTAGAGGCTCAGGTCAGGGGCTGCCTTGCGGGCCAGATGAAATGAGGAGCAAGCCTCAGGGTACTGGGCAGGAGAAGGGTCTTCTGCTCCCACCCCGACCCTCTGTGTCCAATCAGCCTCTGAGTCCATGTCCTCAGTTTCTCTTGACTTTGTTCCCTTCCTCCTGCCCCTCTTGTCAATAGCAGACCTTCACCATCTGTAGCCTGGGTTATTGCAAAGAGCCTCTAAATTCATTCCCCATGGCTGCTAGAACAAATTGCCAGAAACTTGGCGGCTTTAAAAAATGTATTATCTTATAGGTCTAGGGGTCAGAGGTCCAAAATGTGCTAAAAATCAAGATGTCAGCAGGCTGTGTTCCTTCTGAAGGCTCTAGGGGAGCAACCAGTTCCTTGCTTTCTTATTTCTAGAGGCCGCCTTCATTCCTAGCCCTGTGGCCCTTCCCTTCCCTTCAAACTCAGCAGTGCAGCCTCTTCTGTTCTCTGGCTCCGGTCTCTTCCTCTGCCTCCCTCGGCGACAGATGAAGATCATTGTGCTTGCACAGCGCCCACCACCCCCATCCCCCCATAAGCCAGGCGGCTCATGGCCGCTCAACGTCCTCTGATTAGTCATCTCAATTCCACACGCAACCTTCATTCCCCTTTGCCATGGAACCTAACACATGCACAAGTTCTGGGGATTCAGACGTGGGCCTCTTTGGGAGTCATCATTCAGCCCCCAAAGAGTCTCTAAGATTTCAGTCATGCCCCCTTCCACAATATTCTTCCCGCAATTGCCAGAAATCAAACAGAAATGCCATGCTTTTGTTTAAAATCCTTCTCTGCTACCAGTCTCCTATAGGATAAAGTCCAGACTCCTCACCCGGCCCTGGAGGCCCTCCTTGGAGACGGGCCCTGCCTGCAGTTCTGGCCTCAAAGCCTCCTGCTTCCCCCACCTACACCACGGGTGCAGCAATGCGCAAGACTTGGAAGGAAGGTTGCCCTCCAAATTAGGTTGGCAAGTTCACAGACATGGACGCAGTGAGTCGTCTACGGGGATGAGCCAGGAGATGGTCCCTAACGAAGAGGAAAGGTTTCTGCCACACCCTGTACTCCACCAAGGTACGAGGGCGTCACGTGAAGAACGCGGGGGTCACCTAGTAAGTGGAAATCCAAGCGGACGTACTGTGCCCTGCTGGATGAACAGAAAGGGCTGGTGTGCCAAAGATGAGGGGTGGGCAACAGCACACTGAGACAAGGGGTCCTGAGCAGGAAGAAGGGACAATGGAGGAGTCTCTGCCGCTTCCATCCGCAAGGAGCCTTGACTGGGTCCCTTCAACCAGGATCTTATATACTAAGTCTGTGCTCACCGCCCAACCTTCCTGACTTGTCCACAGGGCAGAATATACTTGTCTAGTCTAGACAGTTCTCACAGCAAATTAACAAATGTGCTCCTGGGGGCGCCAGGGTGGCTCAGTCGGTTAGGCATCCAATGCTTGGTTTCAGCTCAGGTCATGATCTCAGGGTCATGGGACTCAGCCCCGCTTCAGGCTCCACACTCAGCACAGAATCTGAGATTCTTTCCCTCCCCGTCCCTTCCCTCTGCTCCTCCCCCTGCCCCCTGCTCTCTCTCTCTCTCAAATAAATAAAACCTTTAAAAATAAATGTGATCTGGTTGCAGCTATGGGTCTGGACACTTAGTATGCAGCCTCCTCTGAAAGATGGAGCCCTTCTCATTCTGTCCCCTCACACAGGTTCTCAAGCGACAAAGCTAGGAGAAAGACCCAGGTCCCATCTCTCATCTGGTTCCCCCAGACAGCCCCAGGTGTGTGGTCTATGGAAGACAGACAAATGGAAGAAAGGGCGAGCAAGCGGGAAATCGGATGCCACCAGCCCAGAACAGAGGATCCTCCTGGTGGGCAGACCTCCTTCCTCAGGTGACACTTACCTGCATTACTGTGAGGCACACACATTTATATCCGAAAGAGGCACCACATCCATGCTGTTCACATCTCCACACCTTTGCAGGCAGTTCCCACTGACTGAAGTACCCTCTCTTCTCAAAGTCACCTGAAGATCCACACTCTACCCTTCATGATCCGTGCAATATCTGGGACATAATTATACTCAAAAAAATCCATCACTTATCTAGAATTCAGACTTAACTGGGCATTCTTTTTATCTGCTACATCTAGCAAATTTGCGGTTCCTTCAAGACTCAGCTCTTGGGCTCTTCCTACCCTCCCCCCGCTGCCCCGAGGCCCGGGGACTCTCTCTACCACCATTGCACCTCACCTAGGCTCTGTCGTACACTTATCTCATGGGAACACGTTCTCTTGTATCTGCTTTCCTCTCTCAAACATGAGCGCCATGAGGGCATGATCCAAATTTGTGTTATCTTGCCAGTCATTGAAGAAAAATTAGAAAATCCAGGTAAGCAAAAGGGGGGGGGGAAGCACTCAAATATGAATCCAGTACAGCAGGATCCTACTTTTGAGCCTCTGGTGGAAAAGTTGAGACCAATGTGGAAACTCAGACAGTAGATTAAGCACGTTACAGGCGTAGAGAGCCTTTTTATCCCCATCTCTCTTCTTACAGGCGGGACCACATCAGTCACCAAGTGGTCCCAGAGAGATAACCCTGGCTCCCAAAGAAGATCTGCCATCGCTCACTGGCCAACCCCTTGGAGGAATGCACGTGTTCATGGGCAAGAAGGTCTAACCAAAGTCAACGCATTCCAAAAAGTTTGAAATTCATTGTTTCCCCCTGGCTCCTGTCTTTCTTTCTTCCAATAAAGATGAGATCAGCTTATACAACTGGATGTTCTGTAAACCACAAATCTATCTGAAGTGTATTCATTTCACCCTTGATGAATTTCAAGACCTGATTATTTTGCAATTATATCAATGTTGATAAGTGTTAACTATTTACCAGATAAACAAAAAATTATTTTTGGATAACCAAAAAATCAAATTTTGATGTCTCATATCATAGAACAAGAATTTCTGTATGTATCCCCGTAACGGGAAACTTTGAAAAATCATATGCATAAAGAAACGTATTGACTCACATGTTAAAAATAACATTTTTATTTTTGTAGACTGGTAAAGAGGAAAGAGAAAGGAGGGAGAGAATGTGCTCGGGCTCTCTCTAGCTCCTGGTCATATGGAGTCAGTAGTCATGCACGGACTCTGAAAATTGACAAAAAGTGACCAGAATCCAACTCTCCCTGATTTTTTTTTTACATTTTTATTTATTTATTTGTTTGTTTGTTTGTTTTAGAGAGGGAGACAGAGAAAGCATGGGGGGAGGTGCAGAGGGAGAATCTTAAGCAGACTCCACAACCAGCTTGGAGCCCAACACGGGGTTCGACCTCACAACCCTGACATCATGACCTGAGCCGAAATCAAGAGTCAGACACTTAACCCACTGAGCCCCCTAGGGGCCCCACTCTCCTGATTTTTAGCGCCAGGGAAGGGTGTAGTGAGAACCACCAGCATTGACCCAGCATAGATGCTCGATAGATGTTTATTCAATGAATGAGTAAGACAACCACCAGGGCCCCGTAGTTGCCAAAGCCCACCCTGGTTACAAATGTTAGCCCACACCCCATCCCCTTAGAAGTGAAGAAACGCACCAAGTGGAACTCCTGCAGCAGCCCTGCGTCCAAAACGGGCTGGGGCTCTTGAAGCCACCTCGTGGAAGGTATTCTTTTAACTGCAGGTGTTTGTTTCCTTTGGCACAGAAAGATGTAATTTCCCATTTTTAGAACAATGCTCCAAAGAACAGTCACAAAAACAGCTTTCAGAGGGGGCGGTTTTCTTCCTGGCCACTGCTACAGCCCTGTAAAACAACAATAACAACGGGATTTTTATTCAAAACACTGTTTGCCTCTCTCTGTAAAATCAGGAGGCCATTCGTTAGCTTCGCACGAGCTGAGAAAAGATCCCTGCGACCCCTTGGTAGAGCATCCAAACTCTTCTCTTTGGGAGGGGTCGATTTGGAAACTACTCTGCTGTTGGATCTGTTTTGGTCTTGATACACCTCCTTCCATGTTGTTCTTATGCGGTAAGGGTGGAAAGGAAGTGTCTAGAAAGCCTGTGTCTGTTCTTCAGGTGCCCCGTGCAGTCTTGAAACCAGAAGAGGACACTCTGTTCTTGAGGACATGCAAATAGCAGACTGAAGGAGAGGACCCAGGAACCGATGAGGTGCATCCCCTCCTGTCTTAGCCATGAAGAAATCCCTTTCATTACCATCTCCACACAGACTTCCTCTCTGCTTCGTAAACTCAAGAAATTGGCTCCAAGACTTCGGGAGCCCTCCCCCTCCCTCCCCATCTACTTAGCCCTTCCTTTCCATGCTGCTGCCTCACCTGGATCACACAGAACTCCTCCCCACCTGAACTTGCATTTTTCTCTCCTCACCGGCCTCCTGGCCCAGTCACTTGGACGTCCCGTGTGGGCCTGCACACCCCAGCTTCATCTACACCCTCCCTGCTCAACCATGGTCAGTGACTCCTCTTCCTATAGACAAGAGTCCAGCATCCTTGGTGGGACCTCATCTGGAGCCAGTCTTCCTTTCCAAGCTTATCTTCCACAAGTTCCTACATAAATCTTAGGCGCCCTCCAAAATGGCCGGCTCACCACTCCCAGACTCCACACCCGCCCTCTGGGTACCACCTCCCTCCCTCACCCCTTACCAAAGCACTGAGATTCTGCCCCATCCACAAAGTATCTTCACTTCGTAAAGAAATCATTAATATAACTTTTTTTTTCATATATGTGCTGAATTGTATGAAGGAGAAAGGTGCTAAGCCACTTTAAGAGTCCTGGGTGGAACCAATTCAGTGTCAGTTTTGACATTTCTATACTACCCTTTACTGAGCACATGCTATGACCCTGCTGCTGAGCTGAGGGCTCCTTAGGTATGACCTCATTCAACCCTTGCAATGAAACTATAAGGTAAGTACCGCGTCCCCTTTTTACAGACAAGGAAACAAAGACTTTGAGAAGCTAAATAACTTCCCCGAGGGCCTCCCGGTTTAAGAGGAGTGAGCTGGAGCTCAGGCTTGGCTCACAGTATTGACTGCTGTGGCCAATACTTGACACTTCTTTCTCGGAGACTTTACAACACAGCACAGTTAGGATGAGCAGCATGGGTAGGAAACCACAGGTTCTTCTCCCAGTTAGAACAAATTCATGGAAAGTTTCCCCATTCAGTGTTGGGGGGTTTTTTCTTCTTGTTTTTGTTTAAGACAGTAGAGGGATTTAATCCTGGAATATTGGGAGACATGATGAAGTTTTCTTTAAAAAATGGTATCAGGGTGCCTGGGTGGCTCAGTTGGTTGAGTGTCCGACTCTTGGTTTCAGCTCAGGTCGTGATTTCAGTGTCTTGAGATCGAGCCCACATCAGGCTCCACACTCAGCATGGAGTCTGCTTGAGATTCTCTCTCCCTCTCCCTCTGCCCCTCCTCCTGCTGCATTCTCTCTCTTTCTCTCTCTCTCTCTCAAATAAAAATAAATAAATCTTTTTTAAAAACGGTATCTAAGGCTTTGATGCTTGGAGGGGAAGCTTTGATGCTGCACCTACATCACCCTAAGATCCCAAGCCAAGTAGCAAGAACATGGATTGTGGTGCTCAGGTTCTGGCTCCTATGTTTTGCAGCAGAGAGGCCCAGTAAGATATTTACCTTATGAGGTCTCAGTTTCCTCTTCTATAAAATAATAATACTTAGCCGACAGGGTGGTTTGGATGGATTCAATGAAATAATTTATACAAAGCACCTAGCATACAACGAGTGTTCAATAAATTAGTACTGTTACTACTTCCCTTGGACATAAGAATCTGTGTTTCTTTTCATTTTTTTAAATCGAAGTCTAACACATATACAGTCAAGTACTTAAGGAGTGCACTTGTCGTGATGAGCACAGAGGGATGTATGGAAGGGTTGAATTATACTGTTGTACATCTGAAACTAATATAACACTGTATGTTAACTAACTGCAATTAAAATAAAAACATAAAATAAAATAAAAACTGGGGTGCCTGGGTGGCTCAGTCAGCTGAGCACCTGACTCCTGATTTCGGCTCGGGTCATGGTCTCAGGATCCTGGGATTAAGCCCCAGGCGTAGGGCTCTGCCCTCAGGGGCGAGTCTGCTTGAGGATTTGTCTCCCTCTCCCTCTATCCCTTCCCACCCCCACCCACCCAACCCCTGCTCACTCTCTCTCTCAAATAAATAAATAAATCTTTAAAAATAAAAAAATGCATAAATGGATAGCTTGATAATCATTTACATATATATGCACTTACATAAGTATACCAGTCCAGACATAGAATATTTCTAGCACCCCAAAAGTTTCTCTCGTGCACCCTCTCATTCCATAGCTCCACCAGATATACCTATGATTTGACCTTTCATATTTTAGCTTTGCCTCTTCTTGAACTTCGTAGTAATGAAATCCTACAACGTGTAATCTCTCACTTCTATGTAGTACTCTACTGTAGGAATACACCACCATTTGTTTATGGCTTCAACCTCCAGTTGATGGGAATTTCAAGTTTGGAGACAATGCCTTTGAACATTCTTGTACATATCTCTGTGCTGTTTATATCTCTTAGATACATATACCCAGAGGGGAATGACAGAGTTAGGGAGTAGGCATATCTTTAGCTCGAACAGAAACTAACAATTTTCTACGTGATTGTACATTTCTACAGTCCCCACAGCAATGTATGATAGATAGTTCCAGTGGGTCCATATCTTCAGTGACCCCTGGTATTGTCACCCTTTTCATTTTTGCCGCTCTGGTGGGTGTGTAGTGGTATGTCCTCGTGGTTTTAATGTGCATCTTCCCAGTGAGTAATGCTATTGAGCACCTTTTCATAGTTTATTTGGCCATCTGGATTTGTTATTTTGTGAGGATCTATTAAGTCTTTTGCCCAGTTTTTATCCGGTCATCGTCTTTTTCTTACTGATTTGTTTTAAGGACTTTTTTTTTAAGATTTTATTTATTTATTGGTGAGAGAGAGACAGAGAAAGTGCAAGCAGGGGGAGGGGCAGAGGCAGAGGGAGAGGGACAAGCAGACTCCCTGCTGAGCGAGGAGCCTGACACGGGGCTGATCCCAGGACCCTGAGATCATGACCGGAGCTGAAGGCAGATGCTTAACTGACTGAGCCACCCAGACACCCTTCTTATTGATTTAAAATGGTTCTTCGCATATCCTTAAAACGAATACTTGGTCAAATGTATGTATTGCAGATTTCTTCTGAGTCTGGGGCTTGCCTTTTCATGTTTTTAATGGTGCGTTTTGATGAGGAGATGCTATAATTTTGATAAAGCTCAACATACCTATTTTTCTTCTATGGTCAGTGCTTCTGGCGTTCTGTTTTAGAAAATTTTGCCCACCCCCAGGGTCACAAAGACATCCTCTCTATGTTAATTTCCTTTTATCTTGCTTTCCCGGTAGCTTCCTTTAGAGTTGAGATTAGCTTCTATTTCAATAAGGAGAAAAGGTCCCACAGAAAAACTCACCATGACTGGTTTGCGTGCTTTTGCTCACATGATCATGACTACCAGTCTTTGGACCATCCAGTCTGTTATCCTAAGGCCAACTTAGAGCATCAGAGGGCACCATTGCTGACTGGCTGCATTGCTGTAATTCCAGAGACTCTAATTTGGGCGGCGGGGGGGGAGGGGGGGCATCCTCCAAAATGAGCCAGAAAGGAGAAGGGAAGCTATCAGTCCCCCTCAATACTATTTACATTCTCAGGCCAGCGGTTTACTCCAAAACCCTAGCTGTGATCACTTTGCAGACACATTCTTCCCATCCTAGCAACTCTCACTGCCCCTCCTTTATAAGCCTTTTCCCCACGCATGTTCTTTTCTCCCTGGATTTGCCCTTTCATCATCATTCACCTACCCAGTTGACGCCTTTGCTTCTTCCCCCCTTAACCACCCCTCCTCTAACTCCAGGTTTCCCAGCTTCAGTGGGGAGGAGCCTCATTTCCCAAGTGCCACGGACATTTGGGGCTGGAAACTGTTGCTGTGGGGCCTGTCCTGTACACTGTAGGACGCACAGCTCTTCTGGTTCCTCCCATTTCCTTCCCACCTTCCTTCTGTCAATCAAGAGGCCCGAGGGAACAGTAAGGGGGTGGGAGGCAAATCATAGCTTTTTCAAGCTGAAGAGAGCCTTAGATATGATCTAGTGCAACCCCCTCATTTTACAGATGAGGAAACGGATCCCGAGAGGGGGAGGGAAAGGATGCACCAGAGCCAAATATGTGGGGGAACAAAGCCAGGCCAAACAGGAAGTTGAAATTCCAGGGCTTGAGGCAGAATTTCCAGTCCCACCAGGGAACCTGGGACTGCTTCCCACAGCAACTTTCTCCTTCCAAGCCATGCATCCTATTCCAGAAACAACCAGGACTGCTCAGATAGAGCAGCAGACTCAGATGGGACAAGCCCCCAGCGTGTGTGCATGAGCATCGGTCCCTGAGAGCCTGCTCCAGAGCCTCTCATGGACACAGATGACAACCCATTCTATCGGGGATGTTTTGAGATGACAAATGCCATGACCATGTCTTAGTTTTAATTCTATCATCATGAGGGAAATGATGGGCATACCACCTGCCCGCATCTGTCCCAACGGAGGAGTTGGAGAGCAACAGAGGTGGCTGGAGAGCTGGAGGGAGCCTGGAGATCGGGTCTGTCCTGGCCCTGTCGCCAAACAGGCAGATGATGGGACCCCCCTACCCCAGGGTAGCGCTCAGCTGGAACCTCCCAAGTTATGGTGGCTGTTAACACCTACTGAGCGCTTACCGTACACTAGACACGGGTGCCC